TCACTAAAGGATTCGTTGCACGATTATCCATTGCGGATGCAAGTGTGCGCGAAATTCCTGCCAATTTTCAGTATGTTAGCCAAACCCCTCTACGCCCGTGGTGGCTCAGGGGATGCAACCTTCACCTTCCAATGAGTTGAACACAAGTTCGAATCCAGTGATGGTTGGACGATTCGAATTCGCATCCGGCTTGCACTCTGGCCTTAGTGATGACGTAAAATATCCTCAATAGTAGACGGGTCATGGGTCAGAGTTCCCTTGCCGCCAGACTAACCATAAGAGGTTTTCGTGGTTTTCCTTTTAAATGTAATGTAACGCAATTGCAAGTTAGTTTCATCAAAAAATCTTCAACGAAGACAAATTTCTCCCAATACTTGATCCAGGAATTTCCTAGTCTTCTGGACTGAGTCACAAGACTTCGGAGTTGAACATTGGTAGTCGTAAGCTTAGAATTGGGACGGTTTTTCAACTACGGTTGTGGCGAATTCCCACACTTGCGCATGCGTTAGGATGCGTAGAGACAAGGTGCTCACGCTAATGCGAAAGTATGGGAATCTGCCTCTCGTATTTCTCTTACTTACCGCTTGCCTCCTTAGTGTGATGTCTGTCTTATTTATAGCAATTTTGAGCATTTATTGTGAATACTGTCTTGCTGCAACGAAGCACTTCGCTTTGATTTTGTGAATGAAGATATTTCCTCTCGTGTCATCTTTTGATCCCGTACCTTAGACACTACAACCCTGTACAAAAAATACATGTTCTTGCATTACGAGTTACTCACATTTTCGTAGAATCACCCTGTATAACAATTTAATAAAATAAGTGTAATTTTTTTTAGATAAATTTAGAAAGTAATAAAGAGAGATTTTTTATGGGTAGATTATTTCTATTCTTAATCAAAATTTCAATTTATTAACTTTTCAATAATCATTGTTATTATTTATCTTAATGCTTTTTTATGAATGCTTTTTATCTTTTTGAAAAGGGCATGACTGAAATGATGGAGGGAAGTGTTGCATCACCGCAAGCCAATTTTGAATCTTTTGCTTTGGATTTGGGTAGTGGTAAGGAATTAAATAGTATATTTATATTGGGTACGTTCCATCTGCCCGACCCTCAGTCTAAGAACTCGACAACTAAAGTGCGTGACTCCCTTTTTTCTGAGAGCACACTTGCAGTAAGGACATGTGAGGAAACTTTTTTTTCTGAAGAAAAAAGATTAAGTACAATAGATAGTATATAATTTTTGGTATTTTTAGGCCCACCTTTATAAATCTTAAACTGATTAAAAAATAATAAAATATTATTAAAAAAACTATTTTTATCACAGAATTATATGATTCAACGAATTTTATAATTGAATGTAAAAAAAAAAAATTCAATTCGTTTAACAAATTTATCATGATATGGTGAAACATGTGAAAAGCAAAATTAACATTAAGAGGTCCAAACTTTCAACTTCTCTGCTGTCCAAACTATTGGTTGTCCAAACTATATTTCCTAGATTGGGACGACTCCTATATTTTATAGGTCTGTTGAAAAAAATATCTATCTGTCAATATCTGTTGAAAAAAAAATTTTTGTCAGACATTTATATTAGTTTTCATTGTTTATTTAACTTTTTACAGCAGGCTGTAGCCTACCCTTGCAGGAGGTTTGGCACATCCACTCTGTGGGTTCTGTACTCGCAGCTGTGTGTTTCTCAAGGACCCCTTTAAACTTGAACATGATTGTGGTGTTCCTATTCGTGCGTGAGTCGGGGCCTTGTGCTTGGGAGTTCGCAATTGCATGGTTTTCCTGTGCGGGGTGGGGCTGAGCTGCTCCTGTGTTGCTGTCCACGACGAGGGCTTTCATAACATCCTGGCGTATGGGCCCTACGGGACAGGGTCACCGCATATTGATCTCCTTAACGTTTTATAGCCATAGCTAATTTCTAATTTGAATTTTTCTAAATATAAGTTAATTCAAGCAAAAAAAATCAAAAAAGTAGGTTATTAAAGAAATAGGACCTTTCGTTATTGGTTTGAGGTCTTCCGGCCATTGGCTACTAACTGAAAGTTTAAATTTTTAGGTCTACCTTAAGATAATGCTAAGTTGACCTGATTACACTACACTGCAGTTTAATTTGAACGGAAATATTGGTTAAATTCAATACCTTATTAAGATTGCAACAACTTTGCAGTTTAATATAGTCCAATATCGATATTATGGTTCAACGTTGAACCAATTTTCATGAAAGTGTTCAGCTACTAAATTACGGTCCTATTAATAGAACGCTGAGTGGATGTTAATCTGCATATAAAAATCCTTTTGCATGTTAAACATGTTTGTTGTTGTTTATTTTCCCACTTAACAGACAGAAGCATCTAGATCAATCTGTAAACACGTGAGTTTTTGAGAACTACACCAGGATTTCAGAACCATCTTTGAGAACCACACCAGGATTTGAGTACAGTTAACTTTCCTGGAAGCCAATACCTATTAAGTTACGAGCAAGAGTGACAAAGGGGATAAACTTTAGGACCCGACACGCCGTCAAAGATATTTAAATAGTTAGTTGTACCCCCTCCTCCCCAGTAGAAACTCTCCTGCAAAGCAGCGGGTGCTGCTGATTATTACAGCTTCTAAAGATTGTTTTCATTTAAGTTTTCTTTTATTTTTAAAAAGCAAGCAAACACATCAGAAAGAAATTGCTGAGACTGCTTTTTAAAACATCTCTTCGTTTGTTCCTAGTAGAAATTAAAAAGCTTGAACTGATAGAAGACAGCAAAGAACAAAATGTAAAGAATTTTTATTTCTGTTGCTTAACTGCAGCCTTATCAGTACAGGGATTTATTTCATTTCTAATAACCAGGGCCGGCTCTAAGCATTTGCCACCTCGCCAAATGCGACAAAATTGTAAATTTGGCGAATAAAATTGTGTTTTGGAGAAAGTATTAGCGATTGATTTTTTCACAGGAATAAAATTAAAATTATGTCAAAATAAATTTTTCTAATCAAATCATTTTTTATTCGATTACGGTAACTTTCGGTACAGGAGCCTCATAAACAATTAGATTTGGGTCCAAATAATATAAGCCTCAAACAAACTACAGTAAACTAAATTTCAAAGGGAAAAAATTAATCATAAGAAATTGTTAAGAATTGCATTTGGCGAAAACTTTCGAAAATTGGCGAATACTTTTAATTTTTGGCTAATTTACTGGCTAATAAATTGAAATTCTTAGCGTGGGGTCTGAATATCATTGTATAAAATTCAACTTAAACTTAAACAACATAAGATTTGCATGCGTAATTTTTATATATAAATTTGTATGAAATATTTATATATAAAATAATATAAAAAGTATAGTTCGTTCACCAGAAGTTGAGACTTGGCTCCACCTCCTGGGACGCAGAGTTCATTTCAGCGCGGGAGTTAGAAGAGAAACATCTCCGTTGTTGAAATTGAGACAACCCTTAATTTGCGCCAAACTTTCTCCATCTAGGGCTCATCAAATT